TTTCAGTACAAAGAGGACCTGAAGAAATTCAAGAAGATGGCTCTAGAAAGCGTTGAACACAAAAATTCGAGCAAATGCAGTGGACCCACCAGCGATTTTGGTGTGCACCCCTCGTGCTCCAGCAGTGATGGTCTAAGGACAACTCAAGAGATTTGCTTCGAGCCCTGATTGTCGACATACTACTCGGACGTAGGGACTAGGAAGTAGGGAAATGAAAGGACTTGGGTGAAAATTTTAGAATTGCCCAAGATTTAGAAGAACTCAGTTAAATCTTATTATGACTTTTGATGTATCCACGGTATATTGTTCTACAGCTTGATGTTTGTGTGTTTTTAACCTTGCCGGATTTTCATTTTTCTTCTCTCTCTCTCTCGTTTCTATTTCGCCACCTGTAAGTTACCTCGAAGGATAGCTTCGCGGATGTACAGAACTTGTAACATTGGAGATTTTTTCAAGTGTGGTACTTAATTTTTATCTCATTGTACTCTCTATGAAAGTGTACTAACAATTGGATAGCATAGTGCATCTTAATTCTTATTTATATTAATTAGGGTTCTTTTGATAGGTAAGTGGAAAAAAATTTCAATGTCATATTAGTTGAAAAATAACAACTCATCAAACTCATAGAAATTCGTTTTCCATGAAAAACAAAGAAAATCCAGTTTAAAATGATTGTAACTTAGAATTCGATTTTCATTTCCGTGTTGCAATCAAACGGCTAAAGTGAAATTTGTTTTTCTCGGATATGATATTTTCCATGAAAAATGTGGCGATCAAACATAGCCTTAAAAAAAAGATCTCACGTGTTCATAATTTTTGTAAATTGTTGGAAACTGTATAGGTTCTTTTTAAAAATAAAAATGAAAATAAAAAAATCGACGTTGATAGATTTCTTTTGGATGGAGAATATTCGAAAGGCACAATGTGGGTCCGCATCTACTGGTTCTTCTACTATTTATTTAGGGTAAATTACAGTTTTCGTCCCCATTCTTTCAAAAAAGTTGCAGATTCCGTAGCTCTGATTTTTAGGTTTCCAAAAATTAGCCGAACTTATCCCTATTGATAGAATCTGTTATATTTTATTTCTGTTATTTAGAGCATCACTCTCTATTTTTAAAGAGCATATAAATTTACTAAATAAAAAAATTTAAGTACTCCAACATGCATTTTATCTTTAACACTTAATTTTACTATTTTCAAAAAGTATTTATTATCTTTCCTTATTTTTTATTTTCACTAGTTTCTCTCAAAATTATTAAATTATTTTCTTTCATTAAAAATTGAAATACTTTGAATGCATTTAATTATAAAGCTCTATTTTAAAATGTTAATTTTACAAAAAGTATTTATTATCTTTCCAATGTCATCCCATTCCGGTTTATTACAAAAATTGGCACATATCAAAACTCATAAGGAAAGCTAAACTCTAATATAATAAACGCAATTAATCAAGAGTCGTGGTTCATTACGTCTCTCATCGAGAAAATTTTCGTCCATCTTCCCTTCAGGAGATGTTCTTTAATCTTCTTAGATGACGAGTATAATGCTACATGATTATGCTTAATTTATACTTCTCCATGTTTCCAATGTCGTCATTGAATGGGTTTTCCATTTTGAGCCTGAATGCATTATGGGTTGGGTGGTCAACAACGACTAAATTAAATGGAGGGTCATAAGCAATGAGAAATTTCATGGTTGGCTAAGCTGTTAAGAAGCTTTTTCGTCATCTTAGTTCGTTCGTAAGTTAGTGCATGGTTGAAGGTCTTGTTTGGGAGGGATTTAGATTTT